CCATGGCCATCACTGTCTCTGTCATCCTCGGCTCGGTTCGCCCCGGCCGCCAAGGCGTCCGCGCTGGCGCATACGTCCAGGCCCAGCTCGAGGCCCTCGGCGCCAAGGTCCACCTCATCGACCCCGTCGCGCTGGACGTGCCGCTCTTTGGCACGCGCTTCGACTACATCCCGGAGGCCGACCGGTCGCCGGCGCTTGTTGAGCTCCACGCCAAGTTTACCGAGAGCGACGCGTTTGTCGTCGTGACGCCCGAGTACAACCACACGTACTCGCCCGTCATCTCGTCGCTCCTCAACTACTTTTACCACAACGAGTTTTACTACAAGGTCGCCGGTATCGCGTCCTACACGATGGGCCCGTACGGCGGCGTCCGCGCGGCCATCCAGCTGCGTCCGTACCTCGGCGAGCTCGGCTTGATCACGATCCCCAAGATTCTTCCGTTCCCGGCCATCCACGCGCTCCTCAACGAAGACGGCTCGGTCACGGCCGGCGCGGCGGGCGCCGACTCGTTGGCGGCCGTGAGCAAGGGTTTCTTCCCCGAGCTGCTCTGGTACGCGGCCAACCTCAAGGCCGGTCGCGCTGCCGGCACGCCGTAAGTGTTGATAGACGTCTTTGAAAGCACTAGTACGCATGTAACATGATTTTCGTATACACCATTAAATACTGCAAATCCAACCTTAGCTTTTGTGACATGCAGCGTGGAAAGAGGAAATGTGTCGATAATAGTAGCAAGGCCATACTATGGCCTAGCTCTATGCCTCTATAGCCTTGGCACCGGGTAGTAGCTGGGGTAGTAGTGTAGAGTTCTACCTGCGCTGTTTTGTGCGCGTGCAGGATCATTGCGCAGTATCTAGCTCTTGCTGTAGACCAGAAGTCTACGTGCTGTTTTGTGTCGTACTAGTACAAGCTTTCGATTGTGATGTCTACGAATCTTGTCGGCATCTTGATGCGTCATCAACGCTGCTTGTTGTAGATGTCTTTCGTGTATTGTCAATGATATACCTCACTACGATCTCCATCGATCGACAGTTTTTGAGCTCGCCGCCATTGCTTTGTGTCTTGGATCGCAAGCGAAATGCGAGGCCGCCCGCTTTTCTCTTTTGGTTCAGAGCTGGAGGTGCCCTTTACATACGATGTACAAAAGCGCGAGTGCAAAGGGTCGTTCAACACCCTTTACACCATACACAGCGCAAGAACCAGCTCTTCACAAACCATTTCCTCGACGACAACGAACATGACTGCTTACTTTGGCCGCGCTACGATGGCTGCCTTGACCGCCGGGCTGGCCTACATGATCTACTCCAACGCCACGTCCACGCCGACGGACACCACCGACGACGCACCGACGACAACGACCACGGCGTCGAGCACGGTCGAGCAGCAACACGATCACCTCGACACCGATCTCGACGACCCGCCGCAGCTCGACGCCGCTACCATCATGGAGCTCCTTGAAGACACACAACAACGCCACGTGGACGCGATGCAGGCGTCTCTGGACGCATCCACCGCCACCGCAGCGACACTGCAGCGCCAACTCGACGCCTCCAGCGCCGCAACAGTAGCAGCCGAGACCACCGTCCGCGCTCTGCAGCGCGAGCGGGATACGATGGCTGCCGACCATCTTCGCGCGATCGACGCGCTTCGAGCCGAGCACACGCGCCAGCTCGCTGCAACCCAAGCCTCTTTGGCCGAATCCAACCAGCAGGTCGCGACTTTACGCGACCAACTCGACGCCTCGATC